GTAGAGAGTGCTGATGACTTTTCTACGCCCCTTGCCTGTTTCCCTGAAGACGATAGCAATCCTTCACAGCATGCCCAGGCTTTTGACAATGCAAGCATACGTGCAGTTTGGATCTTCTTTCCCATTCCTTTTGAGTGATGAGGAGAGCTTCCCAAAGCTAGGTAGAAGCGTCCTCCGGTTTCTCAGGGATCTTAGCATTTTTGGGAAGGTGTATGACAGTTCCCTTATCCGAACCACGGTTAGGCCCCTTATTTGAAGCAGTCTTTCTGAATGCATTAAGTTTTTCATCGTCATTTTTGTCACACTCAATGGCTGATGCAGAACAGCCCGTATCGGAGTCCGGCTCTAGATTGTCATGTAGAGACAGATCATCCGCATAGGAGTGATCTTCAGCCTCCCGATGATCGTGCAGTGCAAGCTGGTTGCTGCTTCCAAACCGCTTGCGTTGTGGTTTCCCACCTGCAGCGGGCGCCTTCTTGCGCCTGGCGAGGTCTTTGGCCTCTAGGTTGACTAGGTCCTTCATGAGCTCTCGCCAGGTGGTATGGTCCTTGAGTGCTAGCAGGGAGAGGTATTCTTTAGGGGCCACTCCCATGACTACATCCATACAAGACACATCAGTCATTCCCAGATCCGGAGTGGTGAACAGACCAGTCAAGTGTTGTTCCAAAGCCTGCATGGGTGACCTCCATGTTTGGCCCTTGAGGGCCTCAAGGTTCAGCCTAGCCTTGAGCGCAGCATGTTTATCTTGGTACCGGTCAAGGAGAAGATCCTCAAGAGCGCGGACAGGGGTGACCTTCAGCCAATCAGTCAGGTCTATGCGTTCATAGCCTGCAGCGACAACTTGGAGCTCAATGTGGTTTCGTACGGCAGGCTCGGTATTAGTCCCCATGATCATACTTCGGCACGCTTGCGATGTCCGCATGACCTCGAAGTACGACCGCATGGAACTAATCCAAGAGGTGATGTCTGCCTTCCCGTCGTACTTGGACGGCAGTGTGGCCGCCCGCTTGTCCACCATGGGACCGTTGTACTGAATGCCAGTAAGGACTGTGGCGTTTTAGGCTGAAGTCCCTGCATTTGGGACCATGACCAGTGCAGAACTGCCGGCGCTGCCGCTCCAGGAGGTGGCGCCGGTTCCTGCGCTTGCCATGGTTCCACTTGATCTTACTATGAGGGCTGTGTTTGATTGAGAGACCGGGACTACAACAGACCGAGGGTTAGGAGGGCGGGGGGCAGACAGTTGGGACTGTTTTAGGCTGGTTATCTCAGCCTGCAGCTTTTGGTTCCGCTGCTCCAGCGCTATTACGCGGGCCTCAAGATCTTCCAAGCTCCGCAGTCGAACCAAGGCTGCGACGGCAGCAGCTAGCCTCTCCTGGAACCGGTCAGCATTGGCCTCCGGGACCTGTAGGAGGGCCTCCTGAGCAGCTATGATTGTAGCTCTAGCTGCTGCCTCTACCTCCCTTTCCCTTTGTACGGCTTCGTCATATAACTTTTGAAAGAACGGTTTCTGGCTCTCGTCTGCTGCGTCCAGCATGGCCTGCCATTGGGCAGATATGATGACCGCCATGCCGGAGGAAGGCGTGTCAGTAGAACTCTCAAGAGGGGTCCGCTGTCTCCTTACGTTTGGACGAACACTCCTCTTGCCCCTTCTCACACTCTCAAACAGCACACCTTCTCTCTCCCTTTCCTCTCTTTTCGCTGTATGCGCACGCGTCTCGATACCGGACATCGATAGTTCAGATAAAAGAAACAAACAAAAAACCACTCAGAGAAGAAGGTAGAACTCCTAGCCGGAGCGGCGAATCATTTGGACTTAGAGCGTGGCACGCAG